ACAGATTGGCTTAAATACTGAAAGTACGTAAGCACCCATATTGATGGCTTCCCAAACATGTAACAAAAAGAAGAGATTGACAGCTCAGTTGAAGAACTAGTGTCTGTTATGTCACTAGCTGCACAACACTCCACCCACATTATACAGGCTTGTAATCCTTATAACAACTGTCGGGCTTCTGGGCATATTAACTAACTGCTACGCAATAAACGAGGGCTTCGGAAGGGTTGGCAATCCCATTTATCGCCTGCCTCGAAGCAGCGGCTTAAAACAGCAAACTATCTTCTAGGCGAAGCCTTAGAGGATAAATTTAATCGATCTCAATTATCCTATTTGCAGCATCTCTTCCCAAACAGCAAACGATATCCACTGTAGAAAGCTTAATCATCGAAAGTGAGTCGCCATTACACACACAAACAGGAGAATGAGTTCGCAGCAATGAAGAGAGGCAAATGAATTTGCGGCACATCTAGAAAACGTTTTAAAACCACTCCCACCAACAAATAGCTTTGTGCTCCCAACAAACATCTTCCCAGAGGCTACCCTGCCCATCATATTCCAATCAAGAGAAGTGATAAAAATGATAAGGGCTCAAGAAATAAATAAAGCGCCTGCACACGATTTAATATCCACTAAAATGATTACAGAATTGCCGAACTGTGCAGTAAATCTTTTCACCACAATATTCAACAGCATGATGAAATTGGGCTATTATCCACAACAATGGAAAAAGTCTGTCATCACTATGATCCACAAAGCCGGAAAGGACAAGTCCCAGCCTTCATCATATAGGCCAATCAGTCTCTTGCCGTGCCTATCAAAGATATTTGAAAAGCTGCTCCTGAATCGTATAAAGCAACACCTAAAGTCCCATAATGCCATTCCAAACCACCAATTTGGAATTCGCGAGAAACACGGAACTATTGAACCAGTAAGCCGAATAACCTCCGAGATACGAAATACATTTGAAAATCGAGAGTATTGTTCCGCAGTCTTTCTGGATGTCGTCCAGGCCTTCGACCGCGTTTGTCTGTACGGCTTAATTTATAAAATTAAAACCTTGCTTCCACAGAACACCCATATAATACTGGAGCCATATTTTGAGCATAGAAGTTTCGCAGTACGATGTAAAGATTTCCTCTCCGAATACCATCCAATTGAAGTAACTTGGAGTAACTCAAGTAGCGTGCTTGGACCAACACTGTATATAATTTACACAGCAGACCTTCCGACAACCAGTCTTACAACAACCTCAACATTTGCTGATGATACTGTCATTCTAAGTCGATCTAAGTGCCCCATAAGAGCAACGCAAAAGTTATCAGCTCATATCGGGCTTCTAGAGAAATGGCTAGCAGATTGGCCCATAAAGGTTAACGAGCAAAAGACTAAACACGTCACCTTTGCCCTAAACAGACAAACTTGCGCCCCACTATCTCTGAACAACATTCATATTCCACAAAGAACTGAGGTAACATATCTTGGAGTCCACCTTGATAGACGGCTTACTTGGCGAAAGCACATCAAAGCCAAAAGAACACAACTTAAATTAAAAGAAAGAAGCCTACATTGTTTAATAAATGCCCGTTCTCCGTTAAAATTGGAATACAAGGTACTTCTGTACAATGCAGTTCTCAAGCCAATTTGGAAATATGGCTCCGAGCTATGGGGAAACGCATGCGTTAGCAACCTAGAAGTAATACAGCGAGCTCAATCAAAGATACTGAGAACTATAACTGGTGCAAAGTGGCACATATGGAATGAAAACATTCAGAGGTTTAAATGTGGGATCTGTTAGAGTCGAAATCGACAATGTAAAAGAAAAGTATATGATCAAGCTACAGGCTCATCCAAATAGGCTTGCGCGGCCTTTAACCTGTAATACTAGCCATTCACGACTCAGGCGAAGAGATCTCCCCACCCAGCAACAATAGATATGGCCGTTCTCCTAAAAAAACTTAATTTTACCTAATTAAATTTATGTGTGAGGCTAAGATTTGAATATTTGTCGTTAGTCTCGAAATAAATAAAAATATCGTAATTAAAAAAAAAAAATGTTGTCAAAATAGGACAACAAAATCATATAGCTGCCATAAAAGCAATGGCAAAGTGCAGCGCAAATTATATTTAGTAATATAGGCATAGAAATATAAATGTAGTCGATTTGTAATAACTGCAAGGGTATATAAACTTCGGCATGCCGAAGTTGGCTGCCTTTCTTGATTTTAATTACAATCCCTTGTACTAAGATTTTATTTATTTCGCAAGTCCGTCCGATTTTGGAGTATGGGCCGCCCGTCTGGAGTTCACAATACGGAATACATATTGTTCGCATTGAATCAGTACAAAATGCCTTTCTACTTTTTTTTTTTTTTTTTGCTATCTTCTCCTTCTTATTCTAGTAGTCTGCTGTTAATTAATTTAAAACAATGATTGATACCGTCTTCATTTATAACCTTATTCGTGAAAAGATTGATAGCCCCGACGCGGTAGGTCGGTTAACTTTTTAGTGCCAAGTAAATTAACTAGATATTATATTTCAATAATATTGAATCATTGCAGATCAAACTATGAATGTCATGAGCCGTTTAGTGGATTGTGTCTGACTATAATAGACTTCTCAAATTTTGACTTTGCCGCTCTTAAAACTATTAATACTTAAGCCTAATACTCATATCGAAAAACGAGTTGCTAGCGTAAAAACTTTAATCTTTCCAGTGTGACTGCATTTTCGAGAGTTCATCAGAATTAAGCGTGCTACGGTCGTACTGTCAATCAGTTGGGTTTGTTGACAAGCAGTTAAAATTCAAAAATCGTATTTGCGGGAAAGAGCCTTTAAAGGCAAGGTAGTTGGCAAGACAAGTCTGCCGCTTTACAAATAAATTAAAAACAAGAAAGGAAAGATAACTTCGGACGGAGCCGAAGTTGATATACCCTTGCAGAATATTCTGTAAATTATATTCTCCAAAATTATTCATGTGATGCATTCTTTATACTCATCAAAAGTCCCAACTTCCTAATTTTAATACCCTTGCAGAGCGTATTATAGTTTTGGTCAAAAGTGTGCATCGCAGTGAAGGAGACATCTCCGACCCTATAAAGTATATATATTCTTGATCAGGATCACCTCCTGAGTTGATATAGCCATGTCCGTCTGTCCGTCTGTCTGTTTCTACGCAAACTAGTCTCTCAGTTTTAAAGCTATCGAATTGAAACTTTGCCCACAACCTTCTTTCCTTTGCACGCAGTATATATGTCGGGATCGGCCGACTATATCCTATAGCTGCCATATAACTGATTGATCGGAAATGCCATAACTTTGGTGTTTGTTAAGTTAGGAAGTTGGGATTTTCTATGGGTTTTATATTTGGCCAATCAATTCCTAACTTTAAAAACACCAAAGTTATGGCTTTTCCGATCGTTCAGTTATATGACAGCTATATGATATAGTCGCCGGATCCGGCTCGTTCCGACTTATATACTACTTGCAATAGAAAGACAACTTTTGGGAAAGTTTTAAGCAGATAGCTTTAAAACTGAGAGACTAGTTAGATCGGCTCTTCTTGTTATGCTGATCAAGAATATATATACGTTATAGGGTCGGAAATGTCTCCTTCACTGCGTTGCAAACTTTTGACTGAAATTATAATACCCTCTGCAAGGGTATAACAATACAATTTAAATTTAACAGTTACTTTTTTTATTTACTGATAATTATTAGCTAATTTAAAGTTCATAGCTGCACTTAGTTTTAACAGGCGATTTTTCTAAGTTTTTTCTAGGGTTTTTTCGTACATTTTTGACCTAAGAAACACTTTGCTCTGACAAGAGGCACCCCAAAAGATTAACACCCTCACAAGAAATCTCCTGCAATCTACTTTAACGGGTTTTTTTTTATTTTTTCCCGCCATTTTTTAAAATGTTCCGTGAGAAGCGCACGCCAAAAGATTAAATTATGTATACTTTTCGCTAGGGTTGACCCAAAATTAATTTCAGCAGACTGAAATTTTCTGGTATTTTTTCATCGATCTGAGTAACGAGGTGAAAAAAAGCCTGACGAAAAGTGTACGCCAGCTGTTTGCCTCTCGCTCTCCCTCATGACTGGCGGACAGTTTTCGTCGATCAGACTAGGCTTTACTTCATTAGTATAAAATTAGATCTTACTTCTCCCACAGACTTTTATCTCTGTTTTCATATCTTACGATACACGTCTGCGCCCCCGGTCAGTTTAACTGGTGATGGCCCGTAGGAAACCGAGGAAATAGAACAAAAAATCACTAGAATTTGGGGTATCAACTAAATTTTTTCTTAGTTCTTGGAGTATAAGCCCCTATGTTAGAAAATTAACTTTAATTCAACCAATAGATACTGTTCTTTAAATTTTAAGCTTTAGACAATATTTTGCGATTTTCTTCGAAAAAGCAAATAAATTGGTATTAACTTTTGAACAGAATGCTTTTTTGATTCTTTTAAGCTAAGGATTTTGCAATCTAGTTAGCTTTTAATGAAGTTAAGTAATGACCAAAATCACGATGATCATGAATTTAAAAACAAAACCGCAATAAAAAATACAAAAAAAAACTAAACAAGAAAGGAAAGCTAACTTCAGGCGGAGCCGAAGTTGATATACCCTTGCAGAATATTCTGTAAATTATATTGGTTGGCCGAAAATAAAACTAGTTTGCGTAGAAACAGACTGACGGACGGACAGACGGACATGGCTAGATCGACTCTCCTGGTGATCCTGATCAAGAATATATATACTTTATAGGGTCGGAAATGCCTCCTTCACTGCGTTGCAAACTTTTGACTGAAATTATAATATCCTCTGCAAGGGTATAAAAATAGGTTATTTTTTGTGCTGAAGAATAATAAAAGTTAACAAAATGTTTAATTTAATAAAAAAAGAACTAGGCGTATCTGTGCCAGTAATGATTTTTGAATGGCATATTTGATACTAACAGTAAATAATTTTGTGTTAACCCCGTTTTCTACTTCAGGTTGAATGGAAAGGTTTGACCGGTCCTATTCAATTTAAAGAAGGCCAGCGCGTGCAGTTCAAATTGGATCTAATAAAATTAAAACAGCACTCAATTGTAAAAGTTGGCGAATGGACACCACATGGACATCTTAATATTACCGAACCATCAATGTTTTTTGATTCTGGTTCCATGAATGTGACACTGGTAGTCATAACAATACTGGTCTGCAAAGAAGAAAAATTAAAAATATTTAAAACTGATTTATTTGTAAATTTTTCCTAGGAAACTCCTTATGTAATGATGCATTACGAAAAAAACTTTACCGGCAACGAACGATTTTATGGCTTTTGCGTTGATATATTGGAAACCATTTCTCACGAGGTTGGGTTTGATTATATACTGGATTTGGTACCCGATAGGAAGTATGGTGCCAAAGATCCAGCAACTGGTGAATGGAACGGAATGGTCGCTCAGCTGATGAAATATGTTCGTAAGTTCAATTTGCCGTCTTCAAACAATAATCATCTATAAATATTTAGAAGGCGGACTTGGCCGTTGGCTCTATGACCATTACATATGCAAGAGAAAGCGTCATTGATTTTACTAAACCATTTATGAATTTGGGTATTAGCATTTTATTTCAGGTATGAAATATCTGTTATTGTAGTGTTTGATTGGATCGAATGTCGAAATGCTTTGAATTTTTTTATTTAAGGTCCCTACCTCAGAGCCAACCAGACTGTTTTCTTTTATGAATCCACTGGCTATAGAAATCTGGATATATGTTCTGAATGCATACTTCTTGGTATCTATTTGTATATATATTGTGGGAAAACTTTCGCCTATCGAATGGAGGTACATTCATCCATGCGACTTAGATAATATTTCAATAGGCAACCAGTTTTCCCTATCTGACAGTTTTTGGTTTACCATTGGAACGCTTATGCAACAGTCAACCGATATTTATCCGAGAGCAATATCAACCCGAATAATAAGCAGTATTTGGGGTTTCTTTTCTCTAATTATTGTGGCATCTTACACGGCTAATCTAGCTGCTTTTCTAACCACTGAACGTATGATTAACCCTATCGAAAACGCAGAAGATTTGGCCTCTCAAACCGAGATATCTTACGGCACTTTAGACAGTGGATCTACGATGACTTTTTTTAGGGTAAGTCAAAAATTTTTTGGTCACATTCTTGTTTATTGTTCAAAGTTTACCAGGACTCAATGATAGAAACTTACAAAAAAATGTGGAGGAGTATGGATAATAAGAAACCAACTGCGTTTACCACTACATATGAGGATGGGATAAAGCGAGTTAATCAGGGTAATTATGCCTTCTTGATGGAATCTACAATGCTTGATTATATAGTGCAGCGAGACTGTAATTTGACGCAAATTGGAGGATTGTTGGATACGAAAGGTGAGATTTTCTGGCATAAAAGACAGTTCACTTGCCTTTAAATTTCCTAAATAGGGTGGGTTAAAAAAAAAATATTAAGGCAAAGGTAAAGCCAAACAAGAAAGGAAAGCTAACTTCGGGAGGTGCCGATGTTGATATACCCTTGCAGAATATTCTGTAAATTATATTCTCCAAAATTATTCATATGAGGCATTCTTAATACATGAGTATGTTTTATGAAAAAAATCCCAACTTCCTAACTTTACAAACACCAAAGTTATGTCATTTTTTGACCAAAATTGTAATACCCTCTGCAAGGGTATAAATATATAAGAGCTTACTCAGTAGAACGCGAAAAAAGTTGTCCACTTTTTAATACGCTTAGCCGACGTCCATGTCCGGCTTAGTTTATGTTGACCTAATAGTTTTACCATGAGCTCCACCTAAACTTGTTAATATAATACAGATATGTTAAGGCGATAGAAAAACAGAAGCAAGAATAATTTTATAATTTGCAGATATTCCTTATATCTCAACTGTATTTCTAAGGGGAAATCTTATTTATTTTAAGCAGATGAAATTGCGTCTCTCCAACCTCATAACAAAAAATTTAATTTAATTTGATATCCATTTATTAATTTTGTAAATGAATTTTTGTATTTGTTTAAGGGTATGGTATAGCAACGCCAAAAGGTTCGCCTTGGCGAGATAAAATTTCTTTGGCGATACTTGAGCTTCAGGAAAAGGGAGATATTCAAATGTTGTATGACAAATGGTGGAAAAACACTGATGAAACGTGTACCCGGAGAAGCACAAGCAAACAATCTAAAGCGAATGCCCTTGGACTTGAAAGCATAGGTGCGTTAAATAGTTTTTAAAACTTTTTCTTACAAACTGTGTATAGCTAGTGTAATCGGATGCTTGTTTTTTTAATTACTAGGCCCTCTGACAATAACGTTCTTGCCTTATATTCGGTCCTCTTTTCATTTTTTAAATTTAAATACTTAATGTTTCCATTTCACAGGTGGTGTGTTTGTAGTACTAATAGCTGGAATATTTGTGGCTGCGGTTGTTGCGTTTTTCGAGTTTTGGTTCAACTTTCGGTGCCACGATAAAGCTAGACCAATCCATCCGGGCGTCAATCATGACCAAGGAGTGATTCTTGAAAGCGAATGGACTTATACACCACTGAACCGTTGCTTTTGGATCGAAATTTTCGAAGAACTCCGCTTTGCATCATGGTGTATGAACAAGCAAAAGCGACCTGAACTTAATCGAGTTTGCAGTGAATGTAAGATTCCACAAAAACCAATTTAACGATATTAACCACATTTAATAGGAATCGTATGTTTATTATACCCTTGCAGAGGGTATTATAATTTTGGTCAAAAGTGTGCAACGCAGTGAAGGAGACATCTCCGACCCTATAAAGTATATATATTCTTGATCAGGATCACCTCCTGAGTTGATATAGCCATGTCCGTCTGTCTGTCCGTCTGTCCGTCTGTCTGTTTCTACGCAAACTAGTCTCTCAGTTTTAAAGCTATCGAATTGAAACTTTGCACACACCCTTCTTTCCTTTGCACGCAGTATATATGTCGGAACGGCCGGGATCGGCCGACTATATCCTATAGCTGCCATATAACTGATTGATCGGAAATGCCATAAATTTGGTGTTTGTAAAGTTAGGAAGTTGGAATTTTCTATGGGTTTTATTTTTAGCCAATCAATCCGACCTATCAAATTTCATAAGGATCGGCCGACTATATCCTATAGCTGCCATATAACTGAACGATTGGAAATGCCATAACTTTGGTGTTTTTAAAGTTAGGAAGTTGGGATTTTTTATGAGTATTAAGAATGCATCATATGAATAATTTTGGAGAATATAATTTACAGAGTATTCTGCAAGGGTATATCAACTTCGGCTCCTGCCGAAGTTAGCTTTCCTTTCTTGTTTTATACTGTAAAAGTTAAATGTACGAAAAGTTTTCAAAATTTAAAGCAATTGAATAAGACACTTCCAAACTAAACGTAAATCGAAGACTTATATCTTATTATCAATAAATAAGGTTATTAATTAACATTTAGTTTAGTTTTTATCTCGTGCTATTAACAGTGGCGGGATGGGTACTTGTTATACCCTTGCAGAGGGTATTATAATTTTGGTCAAAAGTGTGCAACGCAGTGAAGGAGACATCTCCGACCCTATAAAGTATATATATTCTTGATCAGGATCACCTCCTGAGTTGATATAGCCATGTCCGTCTGTCCGTCTGTCCGTCTGTCCGTCTGTCCGTCTGTCTGTTTCTACGCAAACTAGTCTCTCAGTTTTAAAGCTATCGGATTGAAACTTTGCACACACCCTTCTTTCCTTTGCACGCAGTATATAAGTCGGAACGGCCGGGATCGGCCGACTATATCCTATAGCTGCCATATAACTGATTGATCGGAAATGCCATAACTTTCGTGTTTGTAAAGTTAGGAAGTTGGGATTTTCTATGGGTTTTATATTTGGCCAATCAATCCGACCCACCAAATTTCATAAGGATCGGCCGACTATATCCTATAGCTGCCAGTTATATGGCAATGATCGGAAATGCCATAACTTTGGTGTTTGTTAAGTTAGGAAGTTGGGATTTTCTATGGATTTTATTTTTGGCCAATCAATCCGACCTACCAAATTTCATAAGGATCGGCCGACTATATCCTATAGCTGCCATATAACTGATTGATCGGAAATGCCATAACTTTGGTGTTTGTAAAGTTAGGAAGTTGGGATTTTCTATGGATTTTATTTTTGGCCAATCAATCCGACCTATCAAATTTCATAAGGATCGGCCGACTATATCCTATAGCTGCCATATAACTGAACGATTGGAAATGCCATAACTTTGTTGTTGTTAAAGTTAGGAAGTTCGGATTTTTTATGAGTATTAAGAATGCATCATATGAATAATTTTGGAGAATATAATTTACAGAGTATTCTGCAAGGGTATATCAACTTCGGCTCCGCCCGAAGTTAGCTTTCCTTTCTTGTTATACCCTTGCAGAGGGTATTATAATTTTGGTCAAAAGTGTGCAACGCAGTGAAGGAGACATCTCCGACCCTATAAAGTATATATATTCTTGATCAGGATCACCTCCTGAGTTGATATAGCCATGTCCGTCTGTCCGTCTGTCCGTCTGTCCGTCTGTCCGTCTGTCTGTCCGTCTGTCTGTTTCTACGCGAACTAGTCTCTCAGTTTTAAAGATATCGAGTTGAAACTTTGCACACACCCTTCTTTCCTTTGCACGCAGTATATAAGTCGGAACGGCCGGGATCGGCCGACTATATCCTATAGCTGCCATATAACTGATTGATCGGAAATGCCATAACTTTGGTGTTTGTAAAGTTAGGAAGTTGGGATTTTCTATGGGTTTTACATTTGGCCAATTAATCCGACCTACCAAATTTCATAAGGATCGGCCGACTATATCTTATAGCTGCCATATAACTGATTGATCGGAAATGCCATAACTCTGCTGTTTGTTAAGTTAGGAAGTTGGGACTTTCTATGGGTTTTATATTTGGCCAATCAATCCGACGTACCAAATTTCATAAGGATCGGCCGACTATATCTTATAGCTGCCATATAACTGATTGATCGGAAATGCCATAACTTTGGTGTTTGTAAAGTTAGGAAGTTGGGATTTTCTATGGGTTTTACATTTGGCCAATTAATCCGACCTACCAAATTTCATAAGGATCGGCCGACTATATCTTATAGCTGCCATATAACTGATTGATCGGAAATGCCATAACTTTGGTGTTTGTTAAGTTAGGAAGTTGGGATTTTCTATGGGTTTTATTTTTGCCTAATCAATCCGACATATCAAATTTCATAAGGATCGGCCGACTATATTCTATAGCTGCCATATAACTGAACGATTGGAAATGCCATAACTTTGGTGTTTTTAAAGTTAGGAAGTTGGGATTTTTTATGAGAATTAAGAAGGCATTATATGAATGATTTTGGAGAATATAATTTGCAGAATATTCTGCAAGGGTATTTCAACTTCGGCTCCGCCCGAAGTTAGCTTTCCTTTCTTGTTTTTTTCTAAAATAGGTTAGGTACCTGGGTAAAATTAATGGTATAACATTTTCCCGTGACTGACCAGAGACAGTCAGCAGAGGGATATAAAGGGTACGATGCTAGACTCCAAAAGCTTTGGCGCCGTGCGCAGAGTACTTCAATGATCTTTCGACGGTAAAACATTATTCACATTAATAATTATACATTAATCTAAATCTAAACTACTATATAAAAGTCTTCGAATAAAAAATGGGTCAGTGGTAAATTCCTACCAGAGCGGATTGACATAAAAATCTAGAAAAATCCGCATAATTCTGAAATAATTAGGAGACGTGTGTGAGGTACAAATTAAAATAATAAACGACCCCAAAGTGCCCCAAAATTCGATTCGTTTTTTTTTAAATTCTTTCTTTTGCCATTTTTCTGTTATAAATGTTGTTAAAATGGTTTAAAAAAATTATGATCATAATCTTATGGCATAGCCGCAACTAACTGCATTTAAATTTTTTGGAAATTCAGCCTCCTTAACCAAGTCCCCAATATTTTCCAATTCTCTTATGCGTGACGTCACGGCCTCCACATATGTTTGTATGTATGTTCTGCTGGCGCACTTTGCATTAAGTCGTAAATGAGTGTATGTAGCATTTTAAGTGTGACCGCGCAGGGGAAAAAATGAAAATACCAGTCACAAAAAATTTAAAATGCGCGGTTAAAAAATCGATTATATCGCAAATCTTTTCATTTGTTTTCAAATGTTGAGTTATCTACAAACTTTGGATTTGTAAAAAACAAAAATAAACAATGATTCGCTCTGCTATGTACACACACACGCACGAAATATGTATATCCAAAAAATCAAGATAATACTGATATCCTTTTGCTAAAAGAATATTTAATTTACATTTCCACAACAGATTTAAGACATTTTGTAACCGATTTTTGTCATTTAAAATTCAAATCGCATTGATAATATTAAAAGAACATTAAATATTCAAACCAATTGATTCTCACGCTCTTTATTACACGTGCCTCATATTGTTTAAACAAATGCAAATGTTTAAACAATTTGATTCACGGCGTCCCCACCTGTCTTTATTATTAATATAATCTTTTTCTTTTGCATACTTCTTTACGTCCCATTAAATGACCGTTTGCTGTAATTAATTCAAGTGAAACATAACCTGTTGGTCGTGTACAAATACTTCATTATTTGCCAATTGTTTTTTTTTTTAATGTGTGGAAAGAAGGTGTGTAAAGAGGGGTTGAGGGCCCAAAAACGCCAAAACTGTAATTAGGTGATAGATGGACAGCCTCTTAAAATTGTTAACCAAGATAAAAATAAAGGAAATTGTATTATTGGGGACGCATTTAACTTTTCCTTTGGCATATTTCTTAATTTTTCTTACATAAATATTTGCTTTCCTTATAAGCGTTGTCTACTGTGGATTCTCTTTTAAACTTCTTCTAAATCGTCAACAGTATGTGATTTTTTATTAACCCTTTCGTTACCAATGTGCATAAAATTACCTTTTCTACATTCTTCGGTTGTAATAGTAATAGTACATTAATATTATTTGTCAAGCAATAACATCACTAGAAGAAAGTAAACATAGCATGGCTTAAATGTTAAAAAAATGTATATTTGTTAAATTAAAATTTTAATTCTTTAATTTCAATTTGTAATTAAAAAAAAAAAAAAAAAAATTAAAAATTAAAAATAAAGAGTTCTAATCTAAATATAAACAAAAACAATGAAGAGTCTTAATTTTAGATTGTTTTTGAAAAACACTTTGTTTTTATTTTTGTCCTTCAATATAATGTATCGCCCTTAACTGCAAAACAAAAGATGTGGCAAAATAAAATGTAAGCGATCGGTATTTAAAAAAAAATTAAAATTAATATAATTATAGAAAAAGATCCTACCATATTTAAAATCTTCGGCACAAAAAGGTTAAGTTCAAAGAGAGGGAAGTAAACTGATGGAATACGCACACATACATCCGTAATTCGGCAAATTTGGACTTATATATGTTTTTAGGCAGCAATTCTGTCAGTTTTAAAATGAATCCCCATGGAAATGGTGCTGGGCAGTGGGTTGCATGGCAACCCAATTACACGGCAGCTCCAGCTAGCTATTCGTATCCGTATCAAGCTGCAGTTCCGCCTCCAGTTGTGTGCCAACACGTCCCGCAACCCGTACCCGTCCAGCACTTCACGCAGCATTTCCCGCAACACGTTGCGCAACATGTACCGCAACATGCGCAATGTGTTCAGGTGAAATCAATAGATGAGCAAGAAACTAAAAATTTTATGGGAAAAAACAAACGACAACAAAACTGGGTTAACATTAACCAGCAATTGAAAA